GCGAAAATGAATTATCTCTAAGTTTTATGTTTAAGTTATTATTTCCGAATTAAGTTGATCATTTCTACATTTATTTCTGGGAGCTAGCGTTCCCGTCATGCCCACAAAATAAAAATGGAGCAAAGCTAAAAGTAAAGTTCAGCGAATGTGTGCCCCATGGTATCCAACCCTCGGGAATGGCGAATCTAAAGAAACGGGGGAATATTCAAAGATGTTGTTTCGGCATTCTTGCCCTCAAGTTCCTCTTCCAAAGCACTTTGAAATTTTAGGGAGCTGTAATGACCATGGGAACTATCTCTCGCGACGTTTGAACTTTAGAACTCTAGAACCTATAAATTGATAGCTGAGAGGAACCCGCGAGTTCGCCCGGGACCAGCCTAGAGAGAGTGGTCGGTAAAGAGTGCTCGGCATTGGTATGAAATTGCATCAACACGGGTTCCGAACCTTACACAACCAGTGGCCGAGCTATGAGGCTCCGGAATGCCTGTTTGGTATGAAGTATCCCAAGGCCGGAGGTTTTTCCCACGCCCAACAATCACATTTTTGTTATTTCGGGTTTTTTCCATGTCGTATAAGGGAGTGGAACAGGAGTTTGAAGCGGTAGGCCTGGAGTTGCGGAAAAGGAAAAATGGGAAATGAGGAACCGGGAGCCGGAGTAGGAAAAGAAAACTATGCAGATTCTTACGACTTGGTCGGCCCGTATGATACTAGTAGAAATGTATTGCGATATCTCTGAAAACAGGATATATCCTAATAAATGGGGAGAGCTTACTCTCATGAAACGTCAATATCATACATAGTTTGATGGCAGGTGGTCGCAGCTCCCATAACTTAAAAGGCGAGCAACCACCACCAAGACCTCGGAAAAGATCCGGCTCTTACATTTACGGGAGCAACTTTGGACAGATGATTATGGCCACGCAGTTTAATGGTTCGAAAAGAGCGACCGAAAAATCGCAACCGTGATATTACCAGATATTCCGGTATTGCAAGCAGCAGAACAGTCAGTTGACCGAGGGAACACCCCCCCGAGAGATGTGAACCGGACGAAAGCAGCATCTTTCTTCTATAGCACTAACAGGACTGGTCTCTTCGATGATGCTAGCGGAACTGGTCTCTTTGGATTCCTTCCCAGGCTTCTAGCAATGGAGATCTTGTGAAGCAATTAGTACACACACTGGAAAGAATGGGTGGTGCGCAAGAGGTTCATCTCAACACTGAAGAGCTATAGGAGCCAACTTGAGAGATATCGTCCATGGTTCAATTGTTTGAGATTCTCCTATAGGCACACAATCGTCCCAAATTCCATGGGCTGGCAAGGGATTGGGCTCCTGAGGCTTGTACTTTTTGCCCTCTGGGCACTATATACTACATATATCCAGGTATTAATAGCAGTTGAGAAAGGCATGCCGGTAAGTTTAATTCCCATACACAAAATGGGTTTTGGGAGACTCCGTAAGGTCACAATCGTATGAACTTTTCAGATCTATGTCAACAATACTTGTATGTAGTTTCTCCATTCTCTTCCAGTGATATATTTTGCTGATAGTATTTCCATTGTGCGGCTGAGGTCGAAACAAAGCCCAGATATATTTTCAAGTCTCTGGACTCGTATTATGGTGATGCAAAATGAGGTGATAAAAGTCCTCATTGATAGCCACTTCACACCAAAAATGCTGCTTTTCAACCGTCCCCAGTGGAAGTAACCCAGTTCCAATTTCGAGGTTTAAATTTTGGAGCATGTGGTGCAATGTTGCCTGTACTATGGCGATCTGGAGTTTGTGATTTAGGGAACAAGGATTTCTTGTGTAAGAGGGCGCACAAGAATTCTCAGCACTTACGGGGGTACAGCGC